GGCGAGACCTCTCCCTCTTCGAGAAGCTGGGCGACGGCTCCTTCGGCGTCGTGCGTCGCGGCGAGTGGTGCACACCTGCTGGCAAGACGGTGAGGGGCTCGTGGGGGGGGGCTGGGTGGTGGGACCTCCTGGGGGGAAAGATGCTTTGAGGCTCATCCCCACTTTGTCCGTAGTTGAACGTGGCAGTGAAGTGCCTCAAGACAGATGTGCTGAGCCAGCCAGAGGCACTGGACGACTTCATCCGGGAGGTGAATGCCATGCACTCCCTGGACCACAGGAATCTCATCCGCCTTTATGGTGTGGTCCTCTCCCACCCCATGAAGATGGTGAGTGTGCGTGGATGGGGCTGATCCCAGTTCAGCCCTATGGGGGTCCCGCATTATGCGATGAGCAAAGCCAGGCTGGGTCCCTACCCAGAGTCCTCTGCTGGCATCCCCAGGGGAGCACAAGAAGGATGGAAACCAGCCCAACCAGGTGCTTCTGGTGTGACCAACCTCCTGTCCCCTCCCCATGGCCTAGGTGACAGAACTGGCCCCGCTGGGCTCCCTCCTGGACCGCCTGCGGAAGAACCAGGGCCATTTCCTCATCTCCACCCTCTGCCAGTATGCCATCCAGGTGGCCAAGGGCATGGCCTACTTGGAGTCAAAGCGCTTCATCCACCGTGACCTGGCTGCCCGCAACATCCTACTGGCCTCCAACGAGCTGGTCAAGATTGGGGACTTTGGGCTGATGCGGGCCCTGCCCAAAAATGACGACCACTACGTGATGCAGGAGCATCGCAAGGTCCCATTCGCCTGGTGAGCCCCAGAGAGGGAGGGATCTGGGGCTGCAGCACCTGTGACCTCCTGATGCTCACATCCTTTTCTATGCAGGTGTGCTCCTGAGAGCCTGAAGACACGCACCTTTTCCCATGCCAGTGATACCTGGATGTTTGGGGTGACCCTCTGGGAGATGTTCACCTATGGGCAGGAGCCCTGGATCGGCCTCAATGGCAGCCAGGTGGGTGCACAGCAGGGACCTTTTCCCCCTGCCTCACCCTGGCAGTGCAGGGACGGGACCTGGGACCCCCTGATGGCACCTTCTGCTTTGCAGATCCTGCACAAGATAGACAAGGAGGGCGAGCGGCTGCCACGGCCCGAGGATTGTCCCCAGGATGTCTACAATGTCATGCT